TCGGCATGCTTCCTTACTGGATCTTTTCATCATGGAGTGATGGGCCTGTTACTTGGGCCGGATATCTTGGGCCTTCCCGATCTGGGTATTGGGCCTCTAGGTCAATATCCCAACACAAGTCCCCCACTTCCGATGTCTCGAACGAAGTGAGTGCATCAGGAAGTATACCAATGTCATAATACCCCGAATGGCGATCGGGGTACAGAAGCAATCAGTTTCCCATGCTGCGATTTGACGGCTGCCGCTTCATTTCCCCATATTCATCATGATAACCGTCGTTTAGTCTTTTCAATAGACGCGTGTTTAGCTTAAATGCTCCTAGTGATGTGTCGCTCTCTGATTGGTTCTCGACACGGCGGTTTCAAGGCTATAAATTAGCCCTTAACTCCTCAATTCCGGGTTTCGACTCTGCAATTCCTTGGCCTTCGTTGTTTCCTCTGCAAATTTCCCCCTGCTTCCCTTGCTCAGGTAATTTCCCAATTTTGGATTCCCCGTCTTCATTTCTGGCTTCGATCGAGATGAGCCCCAAAGAGCATTCCTCTGATTTAGAGATGGCCTCTCATGGAGATGACCGTGACACCGCCATTGTAGATGTCATCCCAGTTCCGTTTGCCGGTGTTTCTACTTAGACGGCGACGAATAACAGGGCTGAGGCGGAGGACCTCCCTAGCACTTCTTCTTCCTCCAGTGAGGATTCTGATGACACCAAATCCGAGGACGAAATAGCCTCCATGGTGGCCGGACGTCCCAACGATGTTCCTCGCCATACTCTTGACCTAAAATTAATTAGGGAGAGGAGGCAAAAATTGACCTCTCATAATAGGGCCGAAATTCTGGCCCTTATCCCTGACCCGGTGGATTTCCGTTTGCAAGCCGGGCTTCACCCAATGCGTCATAGGCCCGGAATGACCATAGTCCACTTTGACTCGATTAGGGCCGGCCTTAGATTTCCGCTACACCCCTTCTTTATTTCTTTCTTCAATTTCTACGAAGTTGTATCGGCCCAGATTATGCCGAACTCTTATCGAGCAATGGCGGGTTTCATTTGTCGTTGCAAAGATGCCGGCGCCCGACCAACCCTAGAACTCTTCCACCAGTTTTTCAAAGTAGCCCCCCAACAAACCCATGGCTATTTGGCCACTAGTGCCCGAACGGGACACATCCTGTTCAAAGGAAACCCAACTTCGATCAAAGGGTGGAAAGACCGGTTTTTCTTCGTGTCCATCCCGGACGGTCTGATTCCTCGCAAGTGGAATGCCTTTCCCCGCAAAACCCCTGATCGTGTCCTCACTGAAGAAATCTACAGGGACGTGCTTGCCGTGGAGAAGGATAAATGCATGGACATCATGAATTATCTGACCCCCGAACGACTTATAACAGCCGGGATAGGTACTGCCCGTTCTCTTGGGTTTACTTGTTTTGATAAACCAAGTGCCTTGGTCCGGGCGGTCCTTCCCGTGCGAGAAACGTTCTTTTATTCTTTTTTCTAGTTTCTCACACGCTAGGGCCGCTCGATACTAACATTGTTCTTTGTCTTTTTTCAGCACCCAACCCAGATCTTCCTATGGATGATAGCAGAGTCATCGCAGCCGGTGGGGCCGGTAAGCGGAAAAAATCCCGGAAGAACCCCCAACCTACTCCCACCATTGTTCCCGCTCAGGAGGCTGCCCCTTCCCAACCGCTTCCAGAACCCCAGCCAATTCAGCAGGTCCACCAGGATCAATTAGAGGCCATGCTGCTCGATGACCGGTTCGGTTCTGACCAACTGCACCAATTTTCCCAGCATTTCGACTCCGTTCGGGGGGAATCCTCGAATGCCGGTGAGACCCATACCGACCATATCACGGGTCAGGTCGAGCGGATCTCCCTATCTGACCCCGTCCATGAGGTATTAGAGAGGGCCGGCTCTACCGCGAGCCAGATCTGGTCGACCTCTTCTTGGTTCAACAACTTTTCCCTTCCTCAGTTGCCGGTCGAGCAATCTGAGGAATGTTTGCCAGATCTAGATCTTTTCATCATGGAGTGATGGGCCTGTTACTTGGGTCGGATATCTTGGGCCTTCCCGATCTGGGTATTGGGCCTCTAGGTCAATATCCCAACAATTATATTTACAAAATATGACTAATAGTTACTAGAGTATATTGTAAAAGTCACTTAAATTACTATTTAGTCACTGAACTTAGGAAGACACATATTTAAAAATCACATTTATTTTTTAAGTTATGTATGCAATTATTTTTTAAAATAATGCATGCATCGATGAGACACTCTCCTCAGAACAAATAGATTATCTTGAATCATTTTTTTATAATCAAACCACCGTTTCTTTTATTTAATACCTCTGGTACTTTTGTCCTATTGTATGCTCCAAAAATTAAATTGTACGGATTATAATAGTATATCATTATTTCAAATAAATAGCATAGTTTATTTAAATGCAAATTTGATAATTTAAGGAGTTTTTTCTAGAACATTATAGAATTAAACTCATTGATAAAATGTGATAATGAATACAGTTTCATATTTTGGGTTGATTATCTCGTATTTACACTTGATGCTTTGATAGTACTTGACAAGTTGAGGGGTCCGATTTTACCAATTTTGGTGTGATCAATTTGAAGCCCTTTGATGACTCTGTTTTTCAGCTTATCAGACTTATCAATCAATTTTTTTAGTCAAACACGTGTTTTTTATTTCGCGCGTTGAATTGTGTACCAACAAGAAAATGTAAGGTTGAAGTTATTTTTCTGTCTATATTGGTTGAAGTTACTGTATATGAATATATGATCATTTTAGCTATTTTCATATAATTTTTCTTTAATTTACTAATAAAATATATTTCAAATATAATTTATTCATAAATCAGCAGAATCAGCCAATGATGTCTCTTCACCTAGAATTTCATAAATTTCAACAAAACCAGTCGATTTCAGTGTCACCAAACGGGCTCTGGATAAATTATCGATTTGATTTTGAAAATAAAAAATAACTTGAGAATCAAATCGAATAACTAAAGTGTACTCCCTCCATCCCCTTTTAAATGTCCCATTTTATCATATTGGGATGTCCCTATTTAATTGTCCCATACCTTATTGGGTAAAGTTTGTGTGACTCAAAATCATTCTTACTTTATTCTTACTTTATTCTTACTTTGTCTATTAATATCAACCACACAAACCTACTTTTCTTAAAACTCGTGTCACCCTCTTCCGGGACATTTAAAAGGGGACGGAGGGAGTACATCATTTCAATAATGTGTGATCAATTTGTGTCAGTTCCGACATGTTTCAACTAGGGTTTTCGGTTTTGATCAGTTGAATCGATTCATAAAAAATATGTGATTTTAGGTTTAGGCAATTTTAGTTTTGTTCAATTTGATTTTCATTGTCTCAGTCTATTGTGAGTGTATTTGTTCACCCGACCCATAATATTGTACGGAGTATGAAGTACTCTCTCCGTCCTTTATAACTTTGACAATTTTCCTTTTTTGGATGTCCCATTAACTTTGGCACTTTTCCTTTTAAGTAAAGAATTTGTGGTTTCAGTTAATTCTCTCTCCTCTGCACAAATCTCAACCACACACCTTTTACTTTATTAATTTCCGTGCCGGTCAAACTTGTCAAAGTTATTAGGGACCGAAGGAGTATGAAATATCAAATAGAAAGAATGACAAAAATAATACTCCCTCCGGTTCTTATTAAAGTGCCTAGTTTGACTTCACACATATTAAGAAAATGAATTTGACTTTACTGTGGAGTGCACTGTTTGGCACTGTTTGGACACTGTTTGACACTGTTTGACACTGTTTTGCATTGTTTTGTTTCCTAAAATGGAAGTGTGAACTTAAATAAGAGACATCCCAAAAAGGAAAGTGAGAACTTTAATAAGAACCGGAGGGAGTACTAACGAGCTTTTATTAGGCATAAATATATGACTTAAACGGAATTGGGCAAGCAAGTGTTCCTACCATTGCCTTCTCGCACCAGACCTTGCGTCTTCTCTCTTCTTTGTCGGGTTTGGTGAAAGGAATCGCCACCATCTTTGATGGAGCCGCAATGTCGTTCGAGCACTTGATGTTGTTATTGGAATGTTGGTTGAGCTCGTTGTTCTGTAGCAGCGAGCTTCTTGGCCGGTGACGAGCTTCGTCGATGAACCTTGCTACAAAAACCAAGATGATCCTTCTCTCAATCTGCACTTCTTCTTCTTTCTTCTTCGCATCGGCTTCATCCCGAAATGGTTGGCGTCACCAGCCTTAATTGCTAGGGTTTCGAATGGCAAAATTGAACCTCGAACCACGGCGAAACACCAGATCCTAAGCTAGATGCAGGGTGGGGATGTTGGAGCAGAAGCGTGATGCAGAGGAGGAGCTGGGGCCGAGGGACTAAGGCAGCGTTGGCGGCAATAGGCAAGGCAGGGAAGAGGCTATTGGGCCTGGGGACGAGATGGGGGAGGGGCGGGACTGGAATGGGAGTGTTGGGGCTGGTGGCGGAGGGGATAAAGTAGAGGTGGGACAGGTATCGGTTGGGAGGGTTGTGGCAGTGACGATATCGTGGTGCGAGTAACTGGGGCAGCAACGGGTCACTGACGAGCTTTTCCAACAATTTCAGTGTCATATTTCACGGCGAAAGTGGTACACGTAAGAGACATAAAAATCTGACGGTGACCATTCTTAATTTCAGTGGCACGAATTTTTGTGTATACATAAAGAGTGGTCACATTTTTTGAAATTAGCTTCAATTTAATAATATTAAGGATGTTTTTACTTGGACTGTAATTCATCCAAGACCAGACCAGACCAGTTCAGACCAGACTTGAATAGTTATAAAAATACAAATAAACCAGACCAGATCAGACCATCAAATTACAATCCAAGTAAAAACATCCTAAAGGGAAAAACACATATCAAATAAAAGTACAACTCCTTGAAGTGTAGTACAACTTGGTATTATTATTATTACTACTATAATTATTATGATTACCATTTATATATACTTTTATCATACCAAAAGATAAATATTCATATCATTCCATCCTAACAAAATATACATTGGAAACAAGATTAGTCCCATGAAAATATACAAAACAAATCTGACCAAAATATTCAAATTAGATACATAAAACACCTCTAACAAGAGCTCCACAAAGTATGGATAATGACATAAACTGGTTTTATTTTTTGTGACGTTATAATGTAATATCATGAGCCCCATTTTCAAGAATGGACCCTTTGTTTCAGACTAAATTGTACACATAAATATGTCTAGTGATCGTTGGAATAAATGCCCGGGCGTTACGAATAAAACACCGTAACAACGGTCATGTCTAAGAACGAGTCAATGGTCACGTGCTCGGCCCATGGAGTAATCAGACGGTCAGACCTAATGGGTTCCCGTTAGGGACATCAGGACATGTAATGTCCAATGACAAGCTATAATATACACACCCAAAATCTTGAACAAATAACCATCCCCTTAACGCTAGGGGTCCTTGCTATTGAATTCCCCAGCCCCAAAAGATCCTCTTCCTGCAGCCATGTCCATATTTCCACCAATAGATGTCATAAGAGCTGATATACTGGAAGTGGGGCCGCCACCAACCGCCATTCCTAATCCAAGCAGGTCGAGTGTAGGATACTTCGGTCCAAAAACTGAAGGGGTGCCCAGCATAAGTTCTTTTAGACCCGAACCGCCATCACATGGAAGCCCGAGTCCTAGGCCCACAGCTAATGACGAGCCACCGTCCCTCCCTCTAAACTCATGCTGCCCATTAGAAGAAGACAGAATATCTAGGCCCATTAACAGCGATGAGTTTGATGGGGATGCACCCATCTGGGCGGCCTTTTGCAATAGTGCTGTAGCAGACATAGCCGGTTGGGTTGGTTGGCCATACTGTCTCCGGTCTTGACCGAGGCTATGACTCATTGCAAGGCAGAGAGATATTGGTTCAGAGGACGAAGGGGGTTGTTCAGGTAATACCATGGGTGTGGTGAACATGTCTGTAAAGCCGCGGCTGCCGCCAAATGTTTGAGAATGGAAAGTTCTGGAAGCATTAGAGGAGGCAAATAAGCTGGCAAACACACTGCCACTTACTTGACTGTTTGGGCTGCTACTACTGCCACAGCTACCGGTTAAGCAGCTCGTTATCACTGCAGTTTCTTCTACCACTTGTTTTGGGCCCACTGATCCAGTTTCATTTGTGTTTGTACACTCCCGGAACTCTGCATTATGTGTAGTGATAATTATAGATAACTATAATAAGCAAAGCGATCTGGTGCCTGCCTATCTGATCAATTAAGGCTTATAACGAAAAAACTGCAGGAGATACTCTTTTGTGGCTAAATTAAAATTTCTACCTTTTCTAGATATCAATTTTTATGTTCTCATAATAGTATATTTTAAATAAACTGTTTAGATAATTGAAGTATCCCACAGTTTTAATCATTTTCGCCATTTTAGGCCTATTATCAAACGGGCATCAAATTTTCTTGTATTTCCTCATAAAATAACATCGCCTTATAAAGGGAAAACATAAGTTATATCCAATTTTTCCACAAAAAACTAACAATTTACAAAAAAAAATCATGTTTGAAATAACTGAAATTCATAGGAACTGGGAAAAAAGTCATGGTTTATGGAGGATTTATGACTTTTGCTGGGGATTCAAAGGAACATCCTAACTGCTAAATTTTTATCAGGAAATGAGCAGCATACCAAGTTTCCTGGAATAAGTCAACCCAAATGGGGTAATTTAACCCATTACTTTATCAAAAAATGAGTAAACTCCAGGACCCACAAGACAACAACCAAACAAAAGGGGGGGGGGGGGGGGGGGGGGGGTAATAACACGTTTGTTTTACTTTTTACCTGGTGAAATCAGGGAAATTCCAAATACTAAGACAGCAAAACTCCAAACATTTAATTAAAAAAAGTACCTGGAAGTTTTACAGATGCGACTGCAGTGGTAGCTGGGGGGTCAGATGGTGGTGTAGGTTGTTGGGCTACTGATGGTTGTGGTGGTGATGGTGACTGACTCAGCTGTGGCGGCAATGGTGGCGAAGGTGACGGTTGTGATGGTGAAGCAGGCTTTGGGTCCTCAGAGATTGGAGCCACAATACCTTCATGTGCTTTCGCACTCTCCTCTGCTAATACTTCACAGAATGCCCTGTGTGTAATAAAGCTATCCCGCCTACACCCAAGCCAATAATTTTTTTAGGCTTAATTCAGAAGCCAAGTGGCTTATTCGGCTTATAAGCAGAATACTCAGAACAAGTAGCTTTAGACTTAACTTTCTTAAGAAGAAAAAGATGTTACCAAACACTTTCAGCCAAACAACCATTGCCCACCCGGATTCTAATTAAGCTATCAAATCTAGTGACACAATTGTGTGGAGATAGAATATGGCAAATGCCATAAATAGTGGACTATTATAAGTAAGAGTGGTTTAATAAGTTTACTCCATATTTAATCCAAATACATTCAAAATATCCACCAAACAAGAGAATAATACTCCCACCACCCACTATGTAACTCTGCTTTAACTTGGCATGGTGTTTAATTTTGGAACAAGCAGAAAAAAGGAAAGAATAAATTCATTTAGGAAAGACGGAAGTACTACTTTAATAAAATTTACTATGAGAAACAAGTTCCCCTCCACATCCCACCACCTAAACCCAAACCCTTATTGGAACATAAGGCGAAGATTATTAGAGTAGGGGAGATTTAGTAAATTTATTGTTTAGTCCTAATCTATTCAAATACCAACCAACAAGGGAACACAATATCTTAATGAATTCCTTGTTAGCAACTCTCACTCGAAATCCTATTCCTCCCTGAAATGTCCCATGAGTAAAACCAATTGTAAATTTGTAATTATGAAAAGGAGAATGAAGGATTTATTTACCTAGAGAAAAAAGTGCCACAATCACACCTATACTCTTTTGTGCCACAGATTTTGGAATGAGCCTTCAAATCAGACTGAACCGCATACTTCTTGGAACACCTCTCACATTTCCACTTCTTCTCACCGTGTTTCCGACAGAAATGCTTCTTGATTCCGGTGAGATCGCCAAGGGCTCTTGACGGGTCGTGATGAACACAAGTAGGTTCAGGGCATACATACACTCTTTTCTTGACTTCCACACTTGACCTTTGCCTAAGCTTCCATGGCAGATTGTGTCCCCTTCTGTGTAGTTGCAAGTTCTGGTCTCTCTGAAACCCTTTATTGCATATTTCACACACAAATCTATTCGTAGCTAAAAGCGTGTTTGGTGATAAAGCAATCACCTCCGCATCTGGATCTAAAACATTCAAAATCACCCAAAAAACACATTAGAGCTTGAACAGTCTCTATGGATAGAGTTTAGGATTTGGTTGGATCACTCAACTAACTTGTGTCAATTTGTCATCAAGTCATTTGGACCAAATCACATTCAAAGATTGAATCCAACCTATTACCCGGTTCAGAAATTTGCGAGGTAGGATCTTAACATATATGCAATAAAGTTGGATTATCTAACCCTATTGTGGATAAATTTTGGATGTTGGACCTTTCAATATTACCTGGCATTCCTGGAAGATTCCGTTTTTTCTTGGCGGCAGCTTTTGGGGGAAGTGCTTGGTTGTCACACGAAGAAACGCTGGCTTCGCCGGAACCCGTGGAGTCGTTCATGGCGAAAGAGTTGTCGGCGTCGGTCGGCATGTGGAGAAGTAGTCCTCTAGCCTTTTCTATTTATGAACTTCAAGGAGGTAGAATCATAGGCGTATACTATTAGTAGAAATTTCAGACTAGGGTTCTAATTCTAGCTAGCCTTTTTTCTTCGCATCTACCAGTCAATCAATCTTTTTCACCTAACTACAAGGATTGCTTAGCTTATGGCAATCCGAATATCCCAATCAGCTGGAAATCGGTACCGAGTTGTAAGTCACCGGAAAAACTCGCCGGAGGTTGATGTCAGCTAGGCTGCTTACAGTCGGAAAAGGCGGAAATGGGTCTGAAGCTTAAGTGAGATTCAGCTTAAATCTTGACAAGTAACTGTTACTGTTTTGGTTGCCGTTAAACTTGTCACAAAAATTCTTGATTTGCCGGCGAATATTACCAGCAACAGTTGTTTCGGCTGCTTGGGAATTGGGATAGAGAGAGATTGAAATTAGTAGAGTGAGAAGAGAGAAGAGTGGAATTGATCCAGAAAATTCAGATCCAGGAGAAAAAAGTAAGAACATCGGAGTATAAATTCTGAAATAATTACAATTACGAGGGAGTAAATTTTTGTTCTTCATTCATTCAATCCAAAAAGAAAGGATGAAAGCTCTGGGTCGGGCGGGTTGCGTCCGGAACTCTGTCATAACTCAGGCATGTGCTGTACGAATTTACCAGGTCAGACCATTTTCTTTTCATATTCTGTCCAATGATAATAGGACACGTACGTCAACTTTACTAGGCTTAAAACCTCCAATGTCTTCAAGTTATGAACTGGAAATAGTGAAAATGACAATTTTAGCTCATCCATTGTGGACACATGAACGCATGAAGCAATTGTTTCTTGATCTACAGTATTGTCCTTGCTGGTTTTGGGTGGCTTAAATTTTTGGTAATTATAGAAAAATGACTACCTGTGTATGTGTATCACCCATTAGCACATGTAATCTATAGCCTTTTTTGTAATATTCAAATCAACTGGGATTGGTTGAATCTGTTGAAATTTATGATGTTGTGGTCGAAATGATTGAATTAGTTGATCTTCTGATATGTGAAAAAAATATTTAAAATATATCTTATTAATAAAATAAAGAAGAAGAAAAATATATGAAAAACAGTTAAAATGATCATCTACAATAAGTTCAACTAATACAACAAGAAAAGTAACTTTAACTTTATTTTTTCTTATTATTACACAATCCAGCGTGCGAAATCAAAAATTGTGTGTGTAGTGAAAGTTGACTGATAAGATAAAAAAACATGGTCACCAATGGGCTCTTAATTTACTTATCTATCTAATGTTATCTCAATTTCTCATTTATTTTACTTTTTTCTATGTCTATATAAGACGAAATAACGCTAGGATACATAAGAATACAAACAAAATTGAGGTAACACAAGACTAATCGCTAGTACGTACTACGTAGTAATTAGTTATTGTCACGCTATGTGTTTTAGGAAGCCAAAAAACGGCGATTCTTTTTCTTACTCTGTCAATTCTCGTTACTCGTCACGCTATGATGAATTCTCGTCACGCTATGCTTTGGGAAATCATAAGAAAGTTATACTGTAATTTTTTATCACTTCTTCATAGTTTGTAACTAAAGGAGGCCTCTAATGGCTTCAAACTCCAAACTGCTTAAGCAGCCCTTGAAAGGTAATGGGAGGCAAGTTTTCAACATAAGCATCCCTGTCACATTTAATATTTTTCTCAATTTAAGACTTTTTAGACTCATGTTCTTTTACATAAAGTTATGAATCCACAATCTCTTAGAATTGAACTTAAATTCTTACTAATAGATATCTTATACTCTTATGCTATTACATGTTCATACATGAAAACTTAATATGAATAAGCTCAACTAGCAGTGGCCTACAACTACCCACTCAGCAAGTCACCCGTTTACGTGTTATATTTTTGTTGGTCTTGTAGTTACTCTGTGCTCCTTTTTCTTTATTTTTTCATATGCCATTTCCCCCCTACAACCCCCCCCCCCCCCCCCCCCCTTCTTCTTCTTCTTCTTCTTCTTTCCCGTGCTTATCTTGTTTCATCTATTTTGTTGCACATGTGTTTCACTACTTACTCTTAACGTGCAACCATGATTTATCTTCTTTTGACTCTCTTTTCTCTCTTTTCTTCCTCTTTTTTCTTCTTCCGACCCGTGCTTCCATCGTCTCAAACTTGTTGCAGCCATAGTTTATTCTCTTTGTTTTTTTCCTTTTCTCCCTCCATTGCATTTGGAAATATCCCCCTTCTTAGATTTCATTATTTATTTAGGTTTTCGAGCAAACGAGCTCTAGTTCAGATTTCATTGTTTCAATTTCAGAACGGGAAAATTTAATTTGGTCAATCCAAACTTAAAGTTCATAAGGCTATATTTGAAACTTGAAAGTTCTTCTTTCCCGTGCTTATCTTTTTTTCGTCTATTTTGTTGCACATGTGTTTCACTATTTACTCTAACACGGAACCATGATTTATCTTCTTTTGACTCTCTTTTCTCTCTTTTCTTCTTCCGACCCGTGCTTCCATTGTCTCAAATTTGATGCAGCCATAATTTCTTCTCTCTGTTTTTCTTTTCTTTTCTCCCTCCACCGCATTTGGAAATCTCCACCCTTCTTAGATTTCATTATTTATTTAGGTTTTCGAGCAAACGAGCTCTAGTTCAGATTTCATTGTTTCAATTTCAGAACGGGAAAATTTAATTTGGTCAATCCAAACTTAAAGTTCATAAGGCTATATTTGAAACTTGAAAGTTCTTCTTTCCCGTGCTTATCTTTTTTTCGTCTATTTTGTTGCACATGTGTTTCGCTATTTACTCTAACACGGAACCATGATTTATCTTCTTTTGACTCTCTTTTCTCTCTTTTCTTCTTCCGACCCGTGCTTCCATCGTCTCAAATTTGATGCAGCCATAATTTCTTCTCTCTGTTTTTTTTCTTTTCTCCCTCCACCGCATTTGGAAATCTCCACCCTTCTTAGATTTCATTATTTATTTAGGGTTTTGAGCAAATGAGCTCAAGTTAAGATTTCATTGTTTCAATTTCAGAATGGGAAAATTTAATTTGGCCAATCCAAACTCAAATTTCATAAGGCTATACTTGAAACTTGAAAGATGTTCCATCCTATATCCCTTATATACTTGTGTGTTGTTGAAAAGTCATGGCTTTCTCGATGGGAACAAAGGTCCATGATAATTGGCTCTTAGGATTAGATAGAAAGGATGAATATCTTTTTTTCTTTTCTTTTTTCTTTTATTTGCTATTTTGGTTTTTACTTCTTTTCTAGGTGATCGATTAATCGGGACTGATTAGGGCTGACATGTTGTATATTTCATATACTCCCTCCGTCCCGTTGGAATGTTCCCGGTTTGACCTACACACAAATTAAAGAAATAAACCTACCAGGGGGTAAATTTTACTGTTTTGACACTGTTTGGCACTGTTTCGACACTGTTTGACACTGTTTTGCACTGTTTGACCCTGTTTTGATGTAGGATAACTTTCCATTTATGGGATTGGGAACTTTCCAACGGGACATCTAAAAAAGGAAAGCGGGAACATTCCAACGGGACGGAGGAAGTATTATTTAAAGACAATTTACTTCGGATTAATATGAGTAGAATATTAATAATTGAGATTATCCGTGTGAATCTTTTCACTCACATATCAATAAAATTTGTTGGTTTACATGTTCATATATTCTTACCCTCCATTTCTTTTTTGAGGGGGGTCACCAACAAAGCTTTGCATGTATGATACTCTTATTTGATAGTCATGTATGAGGCATTGATAATGAAGAAAATGTGAATGATGTGTGATTATGAATAGAGCGGATCCTTAACAATGTGGCAAAAAGCAAGTACTTGGAGATTCTTAATGATGTTTGTCACACACACAAAAATATACTCTGTATATCTAACTGAAATGAGCAGATGAAACAAGTCATACGGAACAAAACATAATCCTATAAAGATTTGGGAAAAAGTCAGAGTGATGAGACTATAGAGGCGTACAAGGAGTTGTATGATATATTGGACTATAAGGACAAAAATATATTTAATTCTATATATTTATAAATGTACAAGTTACCACCTATACAGGCTTACTCAGATGCTTGTGACAGCTTTGATTCATAGATTGACTCATACTGCTTACTCAGATGCTTGTGACAACTTTGATTTATAGGATGACTCATGCTTATCAGACGATTTTTTGGAACATGCAACCGAAAGCGGCCGTCGATCACCTATTTTGAAACATGAATATATTAGGAACTTCAAATTCAACTAAACGATTTGCGAAAAATCTAAGTTCATTACTTCAGAAATCCCAGAAGAACAAAAGACGCCACAATGTGAGGGCTAGGTCTCGGTCAAAACAATTTCCTCGTGGCTAGATTTTTTTCTTATTTTATTTCCCCTTATGTACTGTTGTGTATTTTAATTTCCCTTTTATTTTATTTTCGCTTTGTACCATTTCTTTTATCAATAAAATATTCCTTTACACACGCACACACACACACTAGTGTTGGCCCGCGCGATGCGCGTGGGTCATGCCCAATGGGGGGGAGAAAACTTGAAGCATAGGTAATGCAAAATTATTCAACGAAAGAAGCCACCGAGGTAAGTAAGAAAAATAAAAGCGAGCAGTGGGCGTTGCGTTAGGAAACCGCCCAAAACAGTAACAGACCGTTAGTACGTTTAAGTGTTGTTGCCCTGATAATTAATCCATTTCAGTTTTCACTCTATAATGATTGAACAAATCCATCACACCTGTCAACGGTCATCAAGAAAATGCAAGGTAAGGTTATGAAAATATTCTGTGAACTACAATAAATATCACATGCTGAATAAACTAAAATAGACCACATGAAAATTGAATACACTATTATAAAAACTAATTAGTTCAAAAGATGAAACAACAAGGAGAAATAGCGTATACACCCTGCTGAAGACAAAAAACCACTATGGTTTACCATTGCCAGAGGTAAGAAGGGAATGAACGAAATTGTGTCAATA